GGCCTGGCACATAGTAAGCACTTAAATGCTTGTTGACTGACTGATGTCACATGATTTGGATGCCTATCTTCCAAATTGGCAGCTAGACAGAACAGTAAATAGAGCGTGGGGCCAACAGTCAGAAAGTCCCAAGTTCAAATTTGACATCAGACTACAGATAGCTGTGTGACACTGGGCAAGTCACTTAACTCTGCCTCAGTTTCCTCATCTGTAAAATGAGCTGGAGAAGGAAATGATAAACCACTCCAGTGTCTTTGCCAAGAAAAACCCCAGATGGGGTCACAAAGAGTTGGGCACAACTGAAAATGACTTTACGACAGCAACTTCCTAATGGGAAGGAGGTTAGACTAGATGATCTCTTAAGTCCCTTTAAAACTTGGGTTCAGGGATAGGAAACGAAGCACAAGTGCAGAAAAAAAGTACAAAGTCCTTCCAATTCCATCCCAAAGAACATTCACCAATAGGAACATTTTAAGTGCCTGCTGTGCAATTCCATTTAACAAGTCAATTATTCTAATCTGACCGGGTGAAAGACACAAAGATGTAAAACAATGCTACAAGCTCCTTGGGAGCAAGGATTGTCCCATGCAGGATAAGACATATAATCAGAAAGAGGAAAGGCAGGGCGTACAAAGGGGGAAGCCATCCAGGATGTTACAAGAAATATAGTGGCTCTTAATGGGGATGCACACCTGTAATCCTTGTCACCGGAGAAGGCTGAGGCTGGCTAATCGCTTGAGTTCAGGAGTTCCAAAGCTGTAGCAAGGCTGAAGCCAAGTGGGTATCTGTATTCCCTCAGGCACTAAGATGATGAGCTCAGGGTTTGGGAGAAGTGGGGTGCTGGGCCGCTTAAGAAGGGGTAGGTTGGCCCAGGTTAGAAAAATGGAGCAGGCTAAAGTTTCTTTACCAATTTGCACTGAGTTTGAAACCTTGAGCTCACTTCCAGCCTGGTGAGATAAGGAGAGGAAGGAAGGGGAAGGAAGGGGAAGGAAGGGAGTTGGGAAGGGAGGAAAGGAGGAGGAGAAAGATGGAGGGAAGGGAAAGAAAGGAGGGAGGGAGGAAGGGAGAAAGAGGGAAGAGAAGGGAAGTGAGGGAGGATGGAAGGGAAGAAAGGGAAGGAGGGAAGAAGTGAAGGAATGGAGGAAAGGAAGAAGGAAGGGAGGGAGGAAGGAGACAAAGGAGGGAGGATGGAAAGAAGAGGGAAGGAAGGAAAGGAGGAAAGACAGATGGAAGGAAGAAAAGGAGAGGGAGGGAGGAAGGAAATGTGGGGGTGGTGAGATGAAAAATCAGGCGAGGCTTTATGGAAGCTGCAGCTTCTAAAATGAACTTGAAGGAAAAAGAGGGATTTTACCAGGTGGAGATATGGGAGGGAATGTACCCCGAGCACAGGGAGAGTCTGTGTTAATGCCCAAGAGTAATAAAAAGTTGGATGCAATTTGGGAATACCTAGTCTAGCTTGGTTGAAGCATAGCATGTGAAAAGGTGAGTACTGTGACTCATTGTTATTAAGAATGAAAATATATAGATTAGAGCCAGATCATAGAAGACTCTGGCCTTGACTATCAGGCCAAAAAATTTATATTAGAAACCATCGAATTAGTTTATGTTTCATCCTGTATGTTTGTCTTAAAAGCACTGAGCCACTGAAGGGTTTTGAGCATACTCTATTTCTGGAATAGCTTGGACACTCTCCTAACCTAAGCCTTACTAGGTAGCTTCCAAATGTTAGGCTCTCTGATATGCAGTGAAGCTTGAATTGTATCCTAGGACCACTGAGAGTCCCTTCTGGCTCAACCCCTCATTTTACAGATGAGGAAAGGTCTAAGAAGTGAAGTGACAGGTCCAAAGTCGCACAAATAGAAAATGACAGAGGCAGGCTCTCCATGGTACATAAAGTAGAACTTAAAATTTGGGGTGTGCAAATTTGAAAGGGTGGAAGTGAGACCCTCTTGAAGTTTATACCATTAATTTTACATAGAAATTGTCTCAGTGGAAATAAATAGGGCAAAGGAAAAAGAGAAAGACTGGGGGCAGGGTGGGGGTGGGGCAGCAGTCAAGGAATGTATGAAAGACTTGAGTCTTCCAGCCAGGCTGTGATGTACCATGGAACAGAGAACTTGGACAGCACATCCTCTGTAGTGCTTATCAATGCGGGGCAAGGTTAACAATGCCGAGACCTTGGGTTTTGCTAAAACTATGTGTGCTGATAAAGCTGTGTTTTTAAGTCTGAGATTTCAGGGAGACATGTGGTAGTCCAGGAGGTCTGTGAATGGAAAGTGTCTGCAGATAATCATTAGGGAGATAGCAGAGAATCTCTGGTTCCTATAGCTGACCCTGTGGAGATGTTTATCTGTTGGCCCTGTGTACAGCAGTTCTCCCCACACCAAACACCCAGAAAATAATGTACACACACACACACACACACACACCCCAAAGCCAGGAAGGAATTTTCCAAAATAAGACCTTAGCTCTTCCCTTAAAGAGTCACTCGCCAACAAAGACAACTCATTCTTCCATGTTGCTTTTCCTCTGCAGAGCATCCTATTGCTTGTCCTAGATGCCCAAGAAAGGAAGTTTGAGGGCTTAACTCTAGGCCTCTTAATGCCACTGTTCAAAGGTTGATTGTCCTCAAAAACGTGGCTAATACCTGATCACTGGCTTTTTGAAATAACAAAATGCTTGCTGCCAACTTGGTTTGTGGATGAACCAAATATCTGTCATCGTTTCAGGATGTGATAAGGCAATGTAGAACAGTGAAAAGAGTGCTGGATTTGGAGGTAAAGGACCTTTGCCACATGCTGTATCACCTCGGAAAAGTCATTTCACTTGTCTGGGCCTCACTTTTCCTGTTTTGAAAATGAGAGGATTAGACCATATGACCTCTAATGCTAAGGGATATGTTAGTTCTAAACCAACGATCATGTGGCACTTTCATGTTGACCCTGGAGTTATCTGGGCCAGGATTTAGGTGGCACCGCGGCTAGAGAATGTTGAATTTGGGTCCAGGAAGACCTGAGTTCAAATACTACCTAAGACACTTACTGGCTGTGTGACCATAGGGTAGTCACTTACAGACCATCTAGTCTAACTCCTTTATTTTGTAGATGAGGAAGTTCACTCCCAGAGAGATGTGGTGACTTGCAGAGTCAAGATTTAAGCCCAATCCAGTGATGTTTACAAGTATAACATGGTACCCTAGAGTGAACAAGGCCCCTTTGTCTTGGAGGGGATCAGAAAGAGGTAGGGAGTGGGGAGGTGATGAAATCACTTTAAAGCATTTATATTATCTCTTTAAATGTTGACATAGTTCTGACAAAAGTTGCATTAATGTCAAAGATACTAAAGCAGGGTCAGCCAGAGTGTTCACCCATGGCAATGTCTGCACTCAAGTGGAGAACGTAGAAACAAGTCCTCAGGTTAAGTCCCTTAACCTCGTGGTGCTTCTGTTCCCTAATTTGTAAAATGAAGGAGCTGAACTCTCTGCTGCTAGCATCCCCTCCAGCTCTACATGATCCTGTATAAAATATATGGCTCACATCTATTTCCTACTTTCAGATTTACAAAGTGCTTTCCTCACCACAATTCTCTGAGCTACGTGGAGCAGTGGATAGAGTGCCAGGCCTGGAATCAGGAAGATCTGAGATCAAATCCAGCCTCAGACACGTAACTAGCTATGTGACCCTGGGCAAGTCACTTCACCCTGTTTGCCTCAGTTTCCTTATCTGTAGAATGAACTGGAGAAGGAAATGGCAACCACTTCAGTATATTTGCCAAGAAAGCCCCAAATGAAGTCATGGAGAGTTGGACACGATTGAAAAATGACTGAACAACAACAACAAATAGTATAAGTATAGCCATTAAGAACTGGACTTGTGATTTAATCAGTATAGGGAGCTCCCAGGTTAGGAAATGGCTTCCACCAGTGCAGGTCAGCAGTTTCTTTGCAACTTAGTTTTCCAGAGTTGTTTAGAGCCCTCAGAGGTTGAATAATTTGCCTGGAGTCTTGTAGGAAAGAAGGGTATGCTTTTTGGGGATGAGGGTATTACATTAAAAACCCAATGTGGTAATAATTTAAGGATATCCTAATGCTGGTCCATAGGGATAATAGAATTTCCATAGGGTTTATGAGGCACTCCGTTATTTCAAGGGTCTTTGGAGAACAGAATGTGTGTTCCCAGGTTCTGTTGGAACAGATTCATTTACTTTACAATCCACTCTGAACTGTCTCCCTGTGAATTATCCATAACCAATATTTAAACTCCAAATGGCTTTGCTTTGCCTCCCAGCATGGTTCTGGACCACTTCCACATACTGTTGGTGTGAGTTCAAGCGATGAGACCTTATTTTAATATCAGCTAAGACTTGGCATCCTTAGAAAGGGAAGTTGCCAAATCATACGATATAGGCCTAAGAAAACAGAAATAACTTAAGAGTTCTCTGTGATACCACTCCCTTCCATCAATAGATCGAGTAGAGAGTTGAGTATAATAATTTGCTTAGATCTAAAATATAATTAGTTGTTGCTTGGTCTAGAGATGGTTGGAGACCAGTGCGCTATGATACAATGTAAGGCTGTTCCTTGAAGACAGTAAATCAGGAGTTGGGGCAGAGAGAGCAAGAAGAAACAAGGACAGAAGTCATAGGATTGTGTGTTTAGAGCTAGAAGGATCTTTGGGTGCCATATAGTTTCAAATGAGAAAACTGAGGTCTAGAGAAGCTAAATGATTGTGCCATATTAAATGATTGATTTTCACATGATGACAAGGGGTACTGATGGAATTCAACCTCCAGATCCTTTGTTCTTTTCGCTACACCACAACATGTACTGGTGCCTGTTTGTATCTTCTTAGAGTGGGAAAGAGCAGCTGTGGTCTAAGCCCCTGGATAGACCCTGCTTGACATCCTGAGAACGTGCTTGGCTTGCTCCAGGGATTGTAACTGGGTCCATCAGCCTGCTTGACCCTTGTTTGCATCTTTTATCCCTCTCTGTCTCCCTGCAGATGCTTACTCAGCCTCTTCAGGTGAAAATGGAGGCAAGTCAGAGTCTGTGGCCAATCTCCAACCTCAGTCTTCCTTAAACTCCATCCAGAGCTCTCCAGGTCCCAAACGTTCCACCAACACCCTCAAGAAATGGTTGACCAGTCCTGTGCGCAGGCTAAACAGTGGCAAAGCCGAGAGCAACATCAAAAAGCAAAAGAAAGTACGAGATGGTCGGAAGAGTTTCGATCTGGGATCCCCCAAGACTGGAGATGAAACCACCCCACAGGGGGACAGTGCTGATGAGGTACTTACCCTGTGGACCCTAAGGTCCTGTAGTGGAAAGTGGCCCACTGATGGGCAAGTGGGAGGAGGTGTGAGTTTGATTCCCTCTTAGTTGGGCCTTCATGCCCCCTCTACCATATCTTTTCATGGGTTTTTAAGGTGCTTGGCCAGTTCCAACACCTCCTCTACAACCTTCTCCTTTGGGTTAAGGAAATTCAATTCTTTCAGCTTCTGCTAAGCCTATCAGTCATAATCATTATGCTCAGTATTCACTAAAACAGGGAATCATGTATTGAATCAAACCTGAATGACTGATCAGACAGACACTTTCTAGGACTGAAATTGAACAGTCTTTGAACTAGAAGAGAAAGCCACCATTTCATCTGGTGCCTTACTTCTCTTTTGGACTTCATCTAAACAACCCCTAATCATAAGGCTGTAACAAGTGGTTATGTTTACCATAGCACAGGGAATGCATAATCACCTTTTTGGAGAGGAGGAGAGGTGGAATAAATACAGGTGATGCCTCAATTTTCAACCTGGTCCTGTAGTTTTTCTTTTAAAAACTATCAAACCAAGGATACTGTGTTCCCATAAGGTTGTAGGCATCATGGTACAGCAGAAAAGTTGTGGAGTTAGAAAGCATGGGTTCAAGTCCTGCTTCTGACACTTAAACATCTATATGATATTGGGAAAGTCATTTAACTTCCCTAAGTCTCAACTTCCTCATGGGAAAAACAAGGAGGGAGAAGTGGTACTAGGTGGCCTTTATGCCCCTTCCACCTCTAGAGAGAAAGACAGAACATTTATTAAGCACTTGCTATGTAGCAGGCTCTGTGCTAAGCTCTAGATCCATGATGCTATGATTCTATGATTAATGGCGCTTTCTTGGTTGTAGAAGAGCAAGAAAGGTTGGGGTGAGGATGAGCCAGATGAAGAATCCCACACACCACTTCCTCCTCCAATGAAAATCTTTGACAACGACCCCACGCAGGATGAAATGGTAGGTTCTCTTGACTGCCTCTATGCATGATGAAGCAGGTCTTTGGTCTCTTTTGTGATGTTTGCTTGCAGCATCTTTTTCCCGCCTGCATGCCTCTTCAAGTGTAAACTGAGACCATTTTAGGTTCTGCCCATGATAGGTTCTAGGGTATCCCTGTATTGGATTATAGGCTTGGTTCTCTCTTGGCTAACCCAACAGGAGAGTGTTGACTTGATATCCCATGGTGTAGATTCTTCAGATAAGATTTTATCATCTTTTTCCACTAACCAAAGGGTGATGCTTCTGGATTTGTCAGCAACAGCAACTGAAATTAAAAGGAGTTCTCCAGAGCAGAGGTGTCAAACATTGAGACCTGAATGTGGTCCACAACATTCCTGAGTGTGGCCCAAAACAGATTAAAATATAGTTCCTATCTAATTTCTTTCTTTTTTTTTTTAAGGCAGTTGGGGTTAAGTGACTTGCCCAGGGTCACACAGCTAGTAAGTATCAAGTGTTTGGTCTGAGGCCGGATTTGAACTCAGGTCTTCCTGACTTCAGGGCTGGTGCTCTATCCACTGCACCACCTAGCTGCCCCATTTGTATCTAATTTCAATGTGTTAATATACTAATAAAAAAGGAAATATATAAACATGTATGGTTTTTCAGCCATAGTGGTTCCCAAAGATTATCTGACTAAGGCCTAGGGGGTTACCATCCATATTGGTGAAGTGGAATATCCACACCAAGGAGTAATTCATTAATCTTTAAATGATGAAAATAAACCCAAATTATAATAAAAAAAAAAAGCCCACTCGGGACAAATGCCATCACTCTATACCCAAATCATGCCCTAGAAGCCTTGCTTGGGTGGAAAAAGAGGCAGTGGGGGATGGAGAGGGTAATTAATGAAGGACTAGAATTTAAGAATACCTCAAAGGACCAAACTGTATTAATTGACGTAGTGCATCAATTAAGGCAAATAAAACAGAGATTATAGAATCAAAATTTTAATTTCAAAATAAAATGATAATATCTACTTTTAATTACTTGCATTTCAAGTAGGTTTGCACAGGTAGGAGAAATTATAGTGAATCATAAATTATTGTAAATTGTAAATAGTAAAATTATTAATTTTTAACTTTTCTATCAGTTCCTTCTAGTATTAAGCCAAGGGTGCATTAGGACAGTGATGCTGGTCCAAGATGAAAAATTGAAATATTTTAAAGAAGAATCCCCCTCTCCCCAGGAGCTTCACTTTGCGTAATTAATGGACCCATTCAGGTGGTAAAGACTCAGTGAAAGTAGACAGGTCACCATCTACCTTTTGGGCCTCTCTTAGAGGTGGCTACCTTGCATCGAGTGACTTAGCCATTAACAAACGCTGAGACTTGGGGTGGCTGGAAGTCCAGGTACTGGCACTTAGCCTGTTCTTCTCATTGCTACTTCTTCTACTGAGTAGTTTATGTTGCTGTTGCCTCATTGATTTTTTGTGTCTCAATATCATAAGCAGGCTTCCAGAGCCCTGACCTGTGGGAGAGAAGCATTGGGTCTTAGGACTTCCTGGAATGGGACATTATGATTTCAGTTTTGGTTTTGGTTTTTTATTTTTTTACTTTCATTTCATTGTTTCACTGAAGACAATTTTGTCTGCTTGCTCTACCATTCTTCTTGGTTCTGCTTTCGCCCCACACATCCTACCTTCATGATTACTTAGTGGGGTTATCATGTCTTGGGAGGACCAAAACCCACAGTTTGATTGATGAGTAGTAATTCAAGTGAGGCCATCTTCGGTTGATCAACAAACGACTCCTGGGTTGTCATGGTATTCCCACCCTTGCTTTGATTCTCTCTGCTTGTCATTTAAGCCTACCTGTGTCATTTTCTACTGCTCAAGATAGAAGACCCCCTCCATTCACCTTTGTTCTAAGCAGTGGGGCCCATCTTATAGGGAAAACACAAGTGTTTTTCTACTCAGCACAGTTTCCTAAGGAATTATTTTCCAAGGTTGCAAGGACAAAATGTGTAATATAAAGGGACAGGACCGAGAAGGCTAGGTGATACTCTTGATTTCCCACTGCCCTCAATCAAAAATATTTCTCTTTTTGCTCTAGGCTTTGTACTCGAACTGACTTGACTTGCTTTGCTCTGACCTTTCCATAGACTGATCCTTGTAAAGTGTTCTGTTAACAGTGATAGATGATATCAGTATTAATGTCCCATTATCTTCCACCCCAGACATCTCTGTGAAATCAGCCACCAGTTTGTGTAAGAGAGCTGAAGTTCACTGGCCCAAACTCTCCCCTTCCAATTCCCTCCAACATGGCTTGTTTGGGAGGAAAAGATGTTTTGTTTCTAGGTAATATTTGACAGGAACTGAAACTCTATCCTTCCCTTCCTCTGTAAGAAGGTAGCATGGGATCCGGGCCTCCACGAGTACCTGTTTTAGGCCCTACTGACACTGTTGGTTTCTATATTTCATTTTTGGAAAAAAAAATGATGGAAAGTCGAGTAGTTTTAGGTGGTGTGGCCCTCAGGATGGTTCCTAAACAAACTTGAAAACACGCACACATACACACACAGGGTTAATTCTCTCTCTTCTCCTCAAAAATAAATAGAAATAAGAGAAAAAGCATATGTTCTCCCTCAGTGAGAGCAGTAGTCCCCAAGGAATACTGAGTTTCTCCAGACTACTGGCATAATAACCAGATACAGCAGATTTCTTTTGCATGTGTTTATTTTTTTTATTTTTAAAAATATTTTATTGATTTCTTTTGTTTTTAAGTCACCTTCATTTCCAAATACATCTATCCCTCCTCCCCCACCATTCTTCAAAAACAAAGAATAAAAGAGGAAAATAAAAATGTTTCAGCAAAACCAGCCAACACATCAGCTCTGCCCGAACATATCTGTAATATTCCACACTCAGTTTCCCCACCTCAGCAAAAAAAGAGGGTGAAGGTACGTTTTCTTAACTCTTCTCTGGGATCAAACTTGGCTATAATTACCCGGCATTCGGTTTCATTTTTTTAAACATAGCAATGGCCTTGTGCTACCCTTTCCTGTAGTTGAAGAATGAGGTGGTCATGAGCTCAGCTCATGTGCCACAGTCAAACAGTCCTCACTCCATCCCCAACAGCTGTCTCTACCTTTCTTTATTCCCCCTTGGGGCTTTGGGAGGTATCTGGCGTAGGTATAAGATGCACTGCTGTTAAAAATCAGACTTTCTTCTCAAAGCTCACACTTAATTATTAGATGCCACCGTAGCCCTCTTCCCACCCCCACCCCCCGCAGAACTGAGATGTATTGGGGATGAGGTAAGGGGCCTAGTTTTGTGCTTTTGAAAATAAAAATAAGGAATGTAGATCCCCAAAGTCTGACAGATAAGTCAGCTGGGGACAAATGAAACTTGGGAGCTGGGAAGGCAGACCCCACTTCTGCCAGATGATAATTGATTTCTGCTTGTGTAATGTCCCAGCTCACTTTAGCACTGTGTTTGTGCACAAAACACTTTGCAAGGTGCTTCTCTCTAGGCAAGCCATAGGTGCTATTCATGTTGCTGGAGCCTGCTGCAAAGATGACCTCAGAATTCTCCTGGATGCTTCCCTTTTCTGCTCCCTCCCCCCACTTACCTTCCCTCCTACAGATCTAACCAGTCACCAAGTCTGGGTTGCTGGTTTTTTGTGGGGGGTTTTTCCCCCTCTTCAAATCTCTCCTTTTCTCTCTCCTGTTGCTACCTCCCTACATCAGCCCCATGTCACCTCTCACCTAGACTGCTGTAATCACCTCCTGTCTCTTCTCTGCCTTCTCTTTCCCTCCATTTGGAACCCTACTACTAGATTAATTTTGCTAAAGAACAAAAAAAAATGCTGCTTTGCCCGTGTTAGTCTCCTGAAGAGAAAATTTTACTGACTCCAGCTGTACATAATAAAACTCAAGCTTCTGAACATGGCTTTCAAGGCTGTCCACAGTCTGATTCCAGCCTCCATTTCCAAGCTCCTTCCTTCTTCTGCCCCGTGTGAGCCCTCGGATGCAGCCAGGCGGACATTTCACTGCCCCGGGGACGCATTTTGTGCTCTCTTACCCAAAGAAGCCCAGCTCTAGAGAGTGGGGAATGGAACTACGTAGCCATGTCCTCCTTAAATCTAAATCTACAGAGGATATTGATGAAGGGCAGCCTGGCATAGTGTACCGAGCTGGCCTTAGAACCAGAAGGACCTGCGTTTGCATCCTGCCTCTTACGTACTTACTGGCCCAGTGATGCTGGGCAAGTCACTTAAACTCTGAGCTCTGAGAAACATTGTAAGAGTATGTTTCAGAACAGGTACTGCACCGCGCTGGTAGAGGGACTTTCCTCATCTGGGAATTCCCCACACCAACTCATTCACGATCCAGTCCTATCCTTACAGCCAAAGAGCCCACTTTATTTGAGCTATTTAGAAGAAGGGAAGGTCACTCAATTGAGCTGCAGTAACTCTAGGCCAGTCTTCGAGATATTATGCCTTCCATAGAAGAAGCTAGTGCAATCCACGTCATTTCTTTTCTGTCTGGAAGCCAATAAGAACATAGGAATTTTACCCGTCTCCCTTTATGGAGGGACACTGGGAGGAAAGATGGAGAGGGGGAGGGAGACGGCATCCGGCAGGTGTTTGCTCCTACTGAGAGATTCGGCCAATGTCTGTCTCCAGATGCCTAGTGGAGTCCCCCCGTGGCTCAGGCCAGATCATAGATCTAGACCTGGAAGAAACCTCAGTGGCCGTCTGTCCCAACCCCTTCATTTTACAGAATAGGAAACTGAGGCCAGGGGTTATTAAATGATCTGTCAGATGTCACATAGGGAGCAAGTATCAAAAGTGGGATTGGAACCCAGGTCCTCTGACTTCAGAGTTGGAGATCTTTTCACTGCCCTGCGTCAGTGATCTCAGGGTGGGCACACCCCCAGAATCCCAGGCTGCTGAGGCAGTGGGGACAACATCATCACTGCTCTTTCTTCCCTGCAATCACGTGGCTCATTGCCCTCTGAAGAAGTTCTTCCCCTAGTGACAGGCAGGATGAACGGCCCTCCTTTATCCCCAGGCTAACTCAAGAACCCACCTCCCTTGGCTGCTGCTGGAACACAGTGTGGGGGATTGACAGGAGACTCCAATCCTGGCTTTTGCTGTTGCTGGTTGACTGAGGAAGCCGCTATCATGCTCCCCTGACCTATGAATTGGGCAGTGACCTATCTCTGTGCTGTGCTGTGTGGTCTTTCTGTGGCTTGCTCTTTCCCCCCCTACCCCTTTCCCTTCCAAAGTGCAGCCCTGCTCCTTCCTGCCTAACTACTCTTGTCCCTTGCTAATTTGCTTTTCCTTTGCCACCCACTGTCTTGCAGTCCTCCTCTTTGCTAGCAGCCCGGCAGGGCTCTGCTGATGTACCCACTGCTGCGGATCTTGTCAGTGCAATAGAAAAATTGGTCAAAAGTAAACTGGTAAGTGGGGGAGTCTTGGAAGCAGAGCTGAAGGGTGTGTTCATGTTTTATGTCTTTTTCTCCCTCTCCCCTCCTTCTCCTCTATCACCCTCTCCTTTCTATCTCTCTCCCTTCCCTTGCCTCTCTCCAGCTTTTGCCCCAATTCTTTTCCCCTTCCTCTCTCCTTCCCCCTTTCTTTCTCTCCCCCTCTCCATCTATCCCCCTCCCCCTCTCCATCTCTTTTCCTCCCCTCTTCCTCATCCCTCTCATCTTCCTCCTTCCATCTTTCCCCCTCCCCTTCTCCATCTCTCCTCTCCTTATCCCCCTCTCCCCATTTGCCCCTCTCCATCTTCTCCCTCCCTCCATCCCCCTTCCTCTCTCCCCATGTAACCTAGGATGCCTTCACCTCTCTCCTGTCCACCTCTGTCCTTCTCTATTCTTCTTTAGTGTCATTCCCAGAACCCCCCTAGCCCTTCAGCTCCAACAGAATGATGGATTTGGATTCTGGAGCCATGTTCTTTCTCTTTCCCTCCCTCCCTCCCCCCAACCCCACTGTGTGCGTGTGTGTGTGTGTGTGCGTGTGTGTGTGTGTGTGTGTGTGTCTCTCTCTCTCTCACTCTCTCTCTCTCTCTCTCTCTCTCTCTCTCTCTCTCTCTCTCTCTCTCTCTGTCTCTCTTTCTCTCTCCTGGGTGATAGAACAGATTAATGGTAACAAATATCAGAGGGGACATAAGTGCCTGCAAGCTGGTTCTGCTGAAGCTGTGGCCTTTGAGAAGTCTCTGTGGATGGGCTTAGAGCCCTGTGCTGATAAGGCCAAGGCTACAGGTTTGATTCCCGCCAGGGCCAGTTGATGTCCCTTGATTTTGTTCTGGGACCACAGACTGCCTCCCAGCCCTGGCTGGGCCCCCTCACAAACACGGGCAGTTGGTTACAAGAAGGAACAGGCAAGTGTCTGTGGGGGTGACTCCAGGCATGCAGCACTGGTGATTTGTCAGTAATGTCATTTCTATGTGAAAGGACAGTGTAATGGGGGGAAGGAACCATGGGGCTCATGGCATTTGAGCATCTGCACTGGGATGGTGCTGGCCAAGGGCTTGGGATTCACCAGAACAGAGTTCTAGCTCCATAAAGTGATCCCTCATTTTCCTCCAATCATACTTTCCAATATGTTGTAGGCATATGTTGAAAAGATGACAAACCAATATCAGTAAGACTATTCTCTTCTTCTTCCTTTCCCCCACTTCCTCCCCACTATTTCTAAGCCATGGAGTCAGGTGCTGCATAGCCCAAAACAAAATGGTTTCCTTGGGAGGTAGTGAGCTCCCCATCACTAGAGGTCTTTGGATAGAACCTGGATGATCGTCTGCTAGGTATGTCAGACATAGGAGTCACATTTCAGGTCTGAGTTAGGAAAGATGAACTGTAAGGACTCTGCAGACTCTGAGGTTTGTGATTATTTCATTTTGACCCTCCTTGGGATGGTCATCTGTGTTCCTGGTCTCCATCTTAGTCCTCTATAACCAGTCCCCGTAGTGCGTGAGGAGACGGAGAGGCTGAGGAGGGAGGGAGAACAATAAGGGAGAAAAAAGGATAGAAGCGCCCCAAAGAAACTTGTTTCATTACTTTAAACCAGTCATTGAATAGTATATAGTGACTCCTCCGTCCCTTCCACTTTGCAAACTTTCCCAGGAGTCTTTGTATCATCCTCATCCTGAAGTTTTAAGTAGTTTTAGCAGTTAAGGTTTCCCAGTAGTTGGGCTCACAAAATCCTCTCAAAGACTTTACATTTTCCTCCAGCCTTCTGTTTCTAAGCAGGAGCCAGGGGCTGCTCTAAGAACTCAGGAGTACTTCTTCTCAGTCATCTCTGACTTCCCCCAATCCTTCCCTTCTCTTCCCTGAATGCCTAGAGTGTTTTTCCTTTGTATCTTTCATAGGGCAGTGAGTCACCAAGGGCCTAGTAACACCTCTTCTAAAGTCTCTGTTGAATTATTGCTTTGATTTTTTACTGTCTAACCTTTTACATGAACTTGGCTCCTACCAGTAGATTATAAGCTGCCTGAGGGCAGGGCTATGTGTTAAACTTTTTTTCCTCTCCCAGAGCACTATTTCTGGAATCCACTCTTAACCGACTTCTAGAAAAGGAGGGAGTCTATAGACTATATATTATTTATGAGGGGAGTAGCTAGCCCCTGACTCACCTCTGGTGACTTCTCTAGGCCGGGGACTCCAATCCAGCTGTCACCAAGTCTTCATTAAGCGGCCTCTTGACGCACAGTGAAATGCCTTCTTCTTGGATTTTAGGGAGTGATTCACCACACTGTGTATGGGAAGGCGTATTCTCATGGGTTGGCACGGTGCCTAGCATACAGCAAGTGTTTTATGAATGCCTTTCTGTTCGGTCGTTCCTTCATTCGTTCCCCCAGTATTTGCTCTGGATCTTCAGTTGGAAGCAAAGTGTAGTGGAAAAGAGGGCTCTTCTTGGAGTCAGGTGAGACCAGGGTTCAAATGTTACCCTGGACATTTGCTAGATCTGTGAGCTTGGGCATATCATTTAATCTTTGAGTTTTAGTTTCCTCATCTGCAAAATAGGGACGCTGATACAGAGTGTCCCATAAGTCTCAATGCAGTTTTCCATTTTAACAGCTGATAAATAGCTTCTGAAGCTGTTAAAAGCTTTAACTTGTTAAAGCTTGTGATTTGGGGACCTCTTGTATATGTAAGATCTACCCATGAGTGTGCTGGTTAGTTTAACAATCAGCTCCCCTGGAAAAAAAATTGTACGCACAACACACTTTTAAGTTTCATCTGTATTAACATTTCCCTCCATCATTTTCTTAAGTCTAAACAAGCAGCAAAACAATAAATCAAGCTCTGATTTGTATCCTTTGCCAAGATCTAAATTCTCACACTGAAAATTCAACAGTCAGCACACAGATATGAATGAACTTCATAGGGTATCTGCAAGAAATGAATAGAAGAATATATGGAAAGCACTTTGCAAACCTTAAATTGCTACATGGATGTCAGCTATGAAATTATCTATATTGTTACTTGGAACCAAGAAGACCTGTGTTCAAATATTGCTCCTGACACCTGCTAACTGTGTGACCCTGGGCGAGTCACTTCACCTCTCAGTGCTCCAGACACATCTCTAGGACTATCACTTGCAGAGAAATTGCCAAGCTATCTTGGTAGAGAGTTTCCTCATTCCAGAGTTCCCCATCTATATGAAATCATAGGTCTAGCCCCTATCCTGGTATTGTCACTATCAGGCATGGTTTACAAGGGGGAAAGGCTTTCTTTGTTGCCTTTTTTGTTCCCTTCTCTCTCCTCCCACCCAAATATACCCACATTTCACCCACTGTGAAGGAGCAGAGTCTAGAAAAGCAATATACTTCTAACTAAAGGTCTTCACAGGAGTTCCTCCTTCGTATCACCTTTCATCAGTTCTTCAGCTTGGCCTGGCTTCCCTCTGCCTCTCTTGGCTTCCCTCAGTGGTTTGCTTGGCTCAAAGAACAATGTCAAACCCTGGGTCTGGTCTGAAACCTTTTTATCTGACCCCCTGACGTGGCAAGAGAACTCTGTGGGAAATCAAACTGGACTGGACTCCTAGCCTCTCATGTAGAGGATTCTTTAGGAAGACAAAGGCATGGTCCAGCCTTTGGGCTTTAAAAACTATCTGATGGAAAATATCAGTAGATAACTCCTCCATCACAAGATGATAGATTTAGAGATAGATTTAGAAGGGACCTCAAAGGTCATCGTGTGCAGTTTTTGATGAGGCTAAGAGAAGGTGAATTGTCCAGGATGACATACTAGGAAATGTCAGATTGGGATTCAAACTTCAAACTCATCTAATTCTGGGTAGAGTCCTCTTCCCAGTGTACCTTGTTGCCAACAGAAGGGTCAGAACCAATATTAGGGGAATGAATGAATGAAGGAACAAACAAATGAACACAAAAAGCCATTTATCAACTCTTGCGATACCACCATGCTTCTAGACTTCGCCTCTTCTCCAGCTCCTTTGGTGAATTCCTTCCATGACCTCCATTTTGAAGAAGGGCCCAAACCAGTTATCCTTTATTCTCTGGATTTCCCCATTATGTTCCCTAGTCAGGTCCTCCCACTGCCACCTTTTTTCACTTTTCAATTCCCTTTTATGTGTTGACTTTCCCCATTAGAACATAAGCCACTTGATATTGTTTTGCTTGTTTCCATACCCCCAGCACTTAGTATAGTACCTGGTACATACTAAGTGCATAAATGGCTATTAACTTGACTATGTGACTTGAGGCTGGATTTGAACTCAGGTCTTCTTGACTCTGGACCCAGCACTGTATGTGCTACACCACCTAGCAGGTTGTTGGGCCTCTCTTTAGGAGCCAAGGAAGGCTCTCTTAAGTGTGCTTCAGAACCACCTCACCTATTTCCGGAGTCCCTGTTTACAGAGGTCAGGACTTTTGGGGGGATCTCTCTCACATGCTTGCTCCTTTCTCAATGTTTTGGTTTGCTAAGATAAAAGGAGCCTTCCAAACAGCAGAACCATCTGGAGAGTGAGAAGCCAGCGCCCTTTCCTCGAGTTTCCCATCCAGTTCCCTCTTTGTATCCCTATACTGTGGATGAGGACGTACTATGATTCCCCCCTGTGGATTTGGAACTCTTTGACAATGTAGACATTACCTTTTGTTTCTCTTTCTCTCTAAACAGTGAGATCACAGATGCTAAATTTATGCATGGATGATTGGGAGGGAGGATCATGGGATCTCAGTTGAAAAGGATCTCAGAGACCATCAAGTCCACCCTACCTCTTTCACTTTAAAAATAAAGAAACTGAGACTTAGGGAAAGGAAATGATCTGCCCAAGGTCACACAGTTAGGAGAGGGAGTGTTGTCCTCAGCCAGAAAGAACCTTCAACTGAGAGTCAGGAGAACTGAGTTCTAATCTCAGCTCTGCCACTCCCCTTTGTGACTTTGGGAAGGCACTTGTCCACCCCAGGCCTTAGTTTCCAGATCCGTAAAAT